AGGCCCTTCAAAGAGGTGTGGGCTTAAACAGAAGGATTTTTTTTTTACTGCTATTCACCAAAAATGAATTTCTCCTCCTGGTTTATTATAAGAACTAGCAGTACTCAGACGGGATTATAATATATTCTGAAAGATTTATAACATCCACAACCATGAGAAGAAGTTTTAGCTGAGACGTTCCAGGAGAGGACCCTGACACTGATAAGATAAGCAGCGCTGGAAGCTTAGGTTCTGGAGATAGTTTTTTATTTCACTGAATCATATATTTGAGTTTTCATTCAACAGGTTTCATGTGCCAGGGCAGAGCTAGGTTCTAAGAATGGGATAAGGGCGATCTGGCTTAGATCCTTACCTCTTAGGACCTTTGAAGGTCCTTCTTCAAGGCGCAGGGGTGCTTTTGCAGATACGACTGGTCTTCTGAGGGCTCCCTGATTGGCCCTCTCTGATTCTAACTGTTCAATCAGAGGAAGCACATTTGTCTTGTGGTCAAGAGACCATCAATATAAACAAAGTTATTTTAGGGAGTACAAGAGTTAATTTGCACTTGTTCTAGAACCACCCCACAACCAAAATTACAGATCATCAGATCTCAAAGGTAGAGGAGTTCTGGCTCAACGATCCACTGGACGGTTGAATCCCTCAAAACCTCCCCAGCAAGGCAACACTTAGCCTGGGCTTAATGCCTCCAGGGGCAGGGAACTAGCTATTAAAACCTTCGTAGAAGCACTTCTCAAGTTAACCTGTGACTCTCAGGACTCGAGCTGAGCTCAATTATGCCTTCCTGAAACCTTTGCCCATTGGGTTCTACCATTTGAAGCCATGCAGACGAAGCCAACTCCCTCTTCCCCAAGATACCTAATGTGTATCCTGAGTCCTCCCTCCTCCTAGCCGAGGACCAGCAGGGCTTTGATCTGTTCATCATATAATAAGCACCATCTATGGAGGTCTACTGTGTGTCACAGCAGTCACTAGAGCCATTCCATTACTTCATTTAATTCCCATAACCACTCTATGAGGATTTTATGTCCATTTTATAGATGGGAAAACTGAGGCTCAGAGAGGTTAAGTGCTTGCACTAATGTCAGCTCAGATTACATTTATTCTTTTTTCAGCCGTATCACATAGTTTACTCTCCACTAACACTCCTTTTCCTATTTGGTGCTATGAAGCCATGTCTTTCAGGTTGGGGGCATTTGGACCTGTGTTTGGCACCTGACACTTTCCCCAGTGCATTGATCTGGTTAAATCTGGCCCCCTCATCCTTTTGTTTACAGCCTTTGGAATACTGATTTTTGTCTCCAACATGCTTATTCAGCTTCCAGCTTCATGCTGTATATTAATTTAATAAACCCTCTTTCTAAATATTCATGCAAATCATAGATTAAAAGGAAAAAATCAGAATGCAAGAGCAAAGCTCCAAAGCATGTCACTAGACACTTCCCACTGGATTAACATTTACTTTTAAATCAGTCCCTTTAAAAATAGAGCTCTTTAATCAGTAACTATTCCACTCACTTGTCCTTTTCTTGCCAAACACCATGCTGACTTTCAGCATTCTGGATGAAGTTAATCACAAAAAACTTGCTCATGGCGAGCCCACGCTGGCTGCTAGTATCTGCGGCTTCCTTTTCTAGGTGCTCACGTGCCAACCCTTTAATCTTCCATTAGACATTCTTGAAATCTACTTAGTTGCAGATTCCATCTTCTTTCTGGGTTGGAAATCCAAACTCCATTTGCTTGTCTCCAATTTTCCAAACCACTAATATTCTCCGTGTTCACTAAGACCACCCATAGTAGTTTGGGTGATTGAGTTTGACAGGTTTCTTCCAATAACATGGGGTATAATTTTCCAGCCTAGAATACCACAATGTCTGTTTCATCATCTATAAGACAGAGACTATATTAGTAGTACCCCCACAGGTTGGTTTGATAATTAAATGGCATAATGCATCCAAAGAACCACTAATATTAGTATCAATATATAGGAAACATTCCCCTCCAAATTGCAACAAGCCACATCACTTCATTTCTTCCTGAAAGTCATGTTAACATCACCATTTCAATCAGCCTATACACACCACTCTTCTAAAAACCTGCATTTTTGCCTAAGTTCCTTAATACTACACACAGTGCCACTATTCTTTTAAAAATATATATGTATTTATTTATTTGACTGTGTCAGGTCTTAGTTAGAGCATGAAGGATCTTCAATCTTTGTTACCACATGCATTTTTTTTTTTTCAGTTGTAGCATGTGGCATCCTTAGTTGCAGTATGCAGGATGTAATTCTGAACCTGGACCCCCTGCATTGGGAGCATGGAATCAGCCACTCGACCACCAGGGAAGTCTTGATGCCACTATTCTTGCAGTCACTCAAGCCTGACACTCAGAAACATCTGATTCAGCATGTGTTTCCGCCTCCACGTCAACCAACGTTAAGTCCAGTAGTTTCCGTCACTGCCGTTCCTCAGACTGTGCGTGTTCGGTCAGTCATGTTCAACTCTTTGCAATCCCGTGGACTGTGGCCCACCAGGCTCCTCCACCCAAGGGATTTTCCAGGTAAGAATATTGGAGCAGGTTGCCATTTTCTTCTCCAGGGGATCTTCCTGACCCAGGGATTGAACCTGGGTCTCCTGCGTCTCCTGCACTGCAGGTGGATGCTTTCCCACTGAGCCACCAGGGAAGCCCAAATTCCTCAGATACCAATCCTTTACTTCCATCCTACAGACATTGTTAAGGGATAAAGGGTTTTTGTCCCCTCCAAGTACATATGCTGGAATCTTAATCCTCTGTGTGACTCTATCAGTTGATGGGGCCTGCTAAGATGACAAAGGATAAATGAGATCAAAAGGGTGGGACCCTAATTCAACAGGCCTGGTGTCCTTATAAGAAGAGGATGAGACAGAAGAACGTCTCTTATGTAGATGGTCAACGTGAGGACACAGTGAGAAGACGGCCATCAACAAGCCAGGAAGAGAATCTTCCTAGAAACAAATTAGCCAGCACCTTGATCCCGGACTTTGCAGCCTCCAGAATTGTGAGAAATAAATTTCTGTTATTTAAACCATCCAGGTTATGGTATTTTGTTACCATGTGTCTACTTAGCAGTCCAAGTAGACTAAGACAGCCACAACCTTACTTGGGGCTTTCTTACCTGGTTTGAGGTAAAAATTCCTGACTTTTGCCCCATCTCTTATCCTTCTCCACTCCAATCCATCTCTCTCACTAGTACCAACTTAAATTTCCGAAATTCTGCTCCCACATTATCAGTAGCTTCTTAGTTTGCCAAATTGAGCATAAACTCACTGACTTTCAAAATATTCCACACAAGCCTCACATATAAACCCTCTTTATGATCCCAATGTATGCTCCAAAACTCATATTCCTCATTCTTAATATACCCTCCATTCCAGTTAAATGAAACCTTGCACAGTTCCTAAGAAATACCATTGATCATTTGCATTCTTTACTGCTCTCTGTACTTATATAGCATTTTTTAAAATAACTGAATGTATTCAGCTGCCAGAAAGAGTAACTGACTAATAATGATGGAAACAATTAGGCATTTACTATTGTCATATCACAAGTGCAGAGATGGAAAGTTGCTGCTGCCAGTTTAGTTGTTCAATAATGCCACCAGAGACCAGGAATTCTTTTCCTTTTCCCTACCTCAAGATCAAAAAGTGGCTGCCATGCCTCCAGACATCAAACCTATGTTCAGTGCATGAAAATAGGAGAAAGAGAAGGAGCATGGCAACAAAGTCAGTCTCTTTTGCTAGGAAAAACCAAAACATTCCCAGATCTCCCACCACCCAGCCCCACTGCAAACTCTCCCACTTATGATTTATTGGCCTGGACACTATCACATGGCCTCCCTTACTTGCAAGGGAAGTTGGAAAAATGGACGTTTCATCTGAGCAAGGCACATGCAACAATACCCACAAAAAACTGGGACACGGTTAACAAAAAAATAAGAAAGCAGTGGATATTCAGTGAGTAACTAGTGTAGCCACAAGTACCTAACACTCATTTCTGGTGGATTTTTATCTTTCTCTCTCTTCAAACATCTACCATAATGTCTTGCACATACTTTATGCTCAACACCATATACATATAGACTGGTTTTAATATAGTTTATGATTGCCTACAAATGGCTCCACAATCAGTAAGTATTTGCCAGCCTCTGTTTGGAATATTGGGAGGGGTAAAGGAAATTATATTTGTTCTCAAGTCAGAGAGTCGAAATGACTGTTGCTAAATTGCTTTCCCGAAACACAGTTGTTTTTGGATTCGTTTCACATCCCCAGCACCAATATTCAGGTTTGCTCAGCAAAACCTTTCTTCACAGGATAGTAAACATAATAACCCTCAGTCTGGGCTTGGTCATATTACTCTAACATCTATATTTCTCTGGCTCAACTGGACAAGGTTTTACTATAGATGTGTTAAGAAAACCTGGTTACAAGTAATGTAATTAAACATCATTCCATAAATAACCTGTTAAAAGGCAGCAGGTAGCCATTAGAAATGATGCTACAGAATAACTAATGATATATAAGTAAATATTTAAGTAAGTCCAGATTATAAAGCAGAGTGCATAGCGTGCGTGCTTTCATGCTAAGTCGCTTCAGTCATGTCTGACTCTTGGTGACCCTATGCGCTGTAGCCCGCGAGGCTCCTCTGTCCATGGGATTCTCCAGGCAAGAGTACAGGAGTGGGCTGCCATTCCCTTCACCGGGGATCTTCCCGACCCAGGGATGGAACCCGGGCCTCCTGTGTCTCCTGCACCGCAAGCGGGATCTTTACTGCTGAGCCACCAAAGAGGCCCCAGGTACAGTGTACCTGTCCACGATCACTGATAAGATACATTCTGTGCAAGGGTGTATGTAAATAGACGGGCCTGGAACTGGAAATTCCAACTTCCAACAGAAGTGTACAAATAGAAACAGAGAGGTTTAAATATTTATTTATCACAATCTTAAGAGTGGTTAACTCTAGACACTGCATTATAGATGGCCTTTATTTTTTGTTTTTGTTTGTCAGTATTCTCCAGACTTTCCAAAATGAACCTGCATCATTTTTAAAATAAAAAGCAAAAGGGGTTGTTTTTGTTTTCTTAACTTTCAGGAATTTGAAAAGACGTCTGCCTTCTGATACTTCAAGTGATGATGATCCAGATTCGATGAGACAGCACAAGGACTGGTGGACTGAAGTGGCCACAAATTCAAATGAGTCTCTATCAATGACACCAAAACCATTTGAAGAGCAGGAATGAGTCACGAACTCTTGTTTGTAGCTTTAGAAATACAAGGAGCAAAAATATAAAGACAGCTTGAGCCTGAAAGTAGGGGTGCACAATCGAAAATATTGTTCTATGGAGGTTTACTTACACATTTCATATATTCAGAGGTTTCCATTCAATGTAAAGTGTGACCCCAAAACAATGAAATTGCTTGGCAGAGAGGCACTGTCTTCGGTGATATGAATGCTGCCACCTGTACTTCAAGCCTCCTTGAATAAATAAATGCTGGCAAACTCATTGCTTTTCTTTCGTTTTAGTAATGGAAAGGCTTTACACAGGATGGACTCACATCGATTTGATGACAATGACCATGACATTCAAGTGATTCCTATTTTACATGCAGTGCTGAGCTGAGTACCTGCTTTATCTTACTATTCACATGACACTGCAGCCGCTTATCTGTTACAGCTGACGCAGGAAAGCCTGGGAAGTTCCTAGAGAGCCTGGGATGAGGCTCCAGGTTGCTGCTGGAACTGGGGTCCTGAAATTAATCCCTGGATATCTCAGCAAAAATCAAACATAACCTGCCCTCTAGAAAACTCCGGTTTCAACAAGTTACTTTTCTCACTCTTGAGTTACACAACGTTGTTCGGTTGTTAAGTCGTCTCCAGCTCTTTGCGACCCCAGGGACTGAAGCCCGCCAGGCTCCTCTGTCCACGGGATTTTTCAGGTAAGAATACTGGAATGGGTTGCCATTTCTTGCTCCAGGGGATCTTCTTGACCCAGGGATCAAAACCATGTCTCACATGGCCTGCATTGGCAGGTGGATTCTTTACCACTGTGCCGCCTGGGAAGCCCAGGACCATGAGTGAAGTACCTAAAGAGTACTTTTTAAGAAATTCCTGGTGGGAGGGGGGATCGGGATGGGGAATACATGTAAATCCATGGCTGATTCATGTCAATGTATGGCAAAAACCACTACAATATTGTAAAGTAATTAGCCTCCAACTAATAAAAATAAATGGAAAAAATACAGAAATAAACCGGGGTTGTTTAATGGTAAAATAAATAAATAAATAAATAAAATAAACCTGTAATGTCTCATAAAAAAAAAAAAGAAATTCCTTGTATTCAGAATGCAGGGAATAGTGTCTATTTTCCTCACTAAACCTGAGGAAACAGTAGATTTGCCAATAGAAGTATATCAGAAATCTTAGAAAGAGTCACATGAAGACCCTGGTAAAGGTGAAATTTTGTGAATATAAACACTCAGATTACAAGTGTAAATATGAAATTTAAGTCTCTTGAAAAGAAGTAATAACTCATGGTCTAGTTATTACCATGTGCGTTCAAGCTAAGTCACTTCAGTCGTGTCTGACTCTTTGTGACCCAAGGGACTGTAACCTGCCAGGTTCCTCTGTCCATGGGATTCTCCAGGCAAGAATACTGGAGTGGCATTGCCATGCCCTGCTCCAGGGAATCTTCCTGACCCAGGGATCGAACCAGGTCTCCTGCGTTGCAGGGGGATTCTTTACCATTCGGTCACTAGGAAAGCCCATGTTATTACTATATTCTCTCCCAATTTACAAAACTGCATTTATTTCTTTTACTATTTCACAGTTTTTTATACTATTTCCTTTATTAGGCTGTGTTATATTGTGCAATATATATATTGTGTCATGAGGTTATGCTATGTCTTATATTATTTTTAAAATTCAGATAGGTCTGTATCTTTATTTTCTCCATATTCAAATCTTACCAAATGTATATGAAGTCTCCAAGCAAAGGTCCTGTGCCACAACGGGAGCTCAATCAATTTTCATGTCAATTATCACTTTGTCCTGTGTTATTAAGCATCTATGCTGTCTGTTAGCCAAGGGATGATCCCTGCCTTCAATGAGTTTAAGAAGACAATATATAGATAACAAATAAATAATAGACATTTTGATAATTTAATATAGAGATTCAAAGAAACATCCTAAGGTGTGTGGTTAACCATCAAAGAGAGGATGCTGGCAGTAAAACAATAGGAGTTAAGAGATGATACCAACACTCCTGAATATTCAACATCTTAGAAAACCCCAGGCATTTTTGGAAGACCAGACAGTAAGATGGAAGCCAAGAGAATGGAAAAATCTTTTTCCTCTTCAACATTCTCCTCCAGCATCTTTTATATCCAGTGAGATTCTTTAGGTTGAATGGAGCCAGATATCTAAGTGGATTAATTGTTATTTATAACAGCATGTTGACCCATGAAGCATGGGTGACCTCCCAGCCCTCGCTCTCCACTAGATAAATTGTGCAACTGTAATAAACAAATAAATGGAATTTGCCTCCCTGCCAAGGATGTGCTGCTGTCATCTTTCCACCACAGTCATCAATTAAAGGATTCAATAATGAATGAACTGGCAGAGTTCGACTATAATCTTCAAACTCCAAAGATGCTCCACGAACAGCAGTGTGGGATTTATGGTTTTCATTTTCCTTCACCTCACTCCATGAGGGTGTACAGAGCCATGAGTGTGTTTAACACTCATTCACACACATGCATTTGCACACCACATGCATTCTCTCCCAGAACATCTCTTGCCATTTGCATGGCTTTTTCAATTAGATAATTAACTTATTAAAACTCATGGAGGGAAGTGCATTCACCCTAGAGGGGGGTTGCTTTGATCCTTTAGTTGAGAATAGAGCTCTAGTAACGCTGGCCAGCAGTCCTGGCCTGGAGTGAGGCCAGGAGAGGAAAGGCACTCAAAATCCCAAGCCAGCAGACACTGAGTTTGCCATGTGGGACAAGGGCTGCTGTTCACAGTGGCTTCCCGCTGCCCAGGAACACCATCTGGGGTACGTTTTCTGCAGAGGCTAGGGAAGCTACAAGCATGCATGAGTTCAGCAAAGACTTAAACACAGGATACCCATCCATGATACAACACTGAGAGGTTGATAGAGATATTGATTCATCACAGTGGTAATATACTATATAATTTATAATATATTGATATATTATTATATTATAATATAATAAAAATAATTTATAAATCCTTGACAATGGGACAGGCAGGATGCCAAGTACTTTCCATGGATTATGTCATTTAAACCTCCCCATAACCCTGTAAGGTAAGTTACATGATTAACCGGGTCTTTAAAATGAGAAACTTGGTGCTCAGGGAAGTTAAATAACAACAACAACAACAACAACAAAAATCACACAGCTTGTATGTGGAGTAGAACTGAGATTCAAACCAGCCAGATGGACTGCAGAGCCTATTCATATCATAGCCACATGCCTAACTTCTTTTATATTTTTTAGCACTCTTAAACTTTTGAGATTCATTGTATAGAAGGAAAATACCCATTATCATACTGTCCAAAAATTCTCCCTTAATGCCATAATGAGAAACAGACGCAGCATATGCAGGCGCAAATATACACGCACACATGTAAGTGTACATATACCAACACACACGTGTACCCAAGGAGGGTGACTAAGGCCATGCAAAGAACACCTTCAATTTTCTTCCTGCCAAACCAGGCTGGATGTGAAGGCTGAATCAAGCTCTCAGGCTATGTCTTTTCCAGCACCGCTGCTACACACTTCAAACCATCAAAGGAGCATCATAGGCTTGCTGCTGCCCCAACACCAGACAGGAAACCCACCCAGGAGTCTTTAGCTCCTTAGGAACCTGAAAGTTCATGACACAACATGGGCAAACCACATACAGCCCAAAGGCCAAAAAAGTGTCCATCTGAGCCCAGAGCTAAGTTACCAGCTATCAGCAGCCTCTCCCAGAACTAGTTCAAGGCAATAATGATCGAGTCTTAACACAGGTTAAAGGTGATCCACTCGGGGGACCTCCCTGGTGGTCCGGTGGTTGTGTCTTCACCCCCCAAAGCAGGGGATGTAGATTCCGTCCCTGGTCAGGGAGCTGAGATCCCACACGCCTCATGGCCAAAAAAATAAAACATGAAACAGAAGCAATATTGTAATGAAATAATATTTTAAAAAAGAAAAAAAGGTGACCCACTCAGGTTGCACCAAGGTTGTTGCATGCCCCCAGGCCCATGCCCTTCCACTCTGACAATAGGATAAGTCAGATCATTAATCTGGTCTAGATTCTTCCCTATCTTCCCTGCCAGTTGTCCTTCTGAGACATCAGTCCTGCCTGATTTGCTCTTGTCGGCAGCGTTGGCTGAGGGTGGTCCTGGGCAGGGGAGACGCAGGGGAGCTTTATGCCTTCTTAGGGAGGATCATGACTTCCAAGGCCCAGGGGCAACTGTGTTCCGTTCAGCTCCTTACGGAACTTGGCCTTTGCCTTCTAAAGGCACATGTGGTATCTGGCAACTTTCCTGGGTCTTGAAAGCCCCATCTGCTCCCTGATGAAAGCTGCCCACGCAAAGGCTAAACTTCCCTCTGTTGTTTTATAAAGAGCAGAGACTCCTTCTCAAGTCTCCAAATAAAACCCTTCACTCCCAGACACAAACAGTGACACTCAAATGTCTGGTTTCATTGGATTTATCTCAATTCACTCACGAGGGGAGCTGAGCCCAGCATCGTGTCTTACCACGGTAAGACCTCCCTACCTCCCAAAGTCACCGCTAAAAAGGAGCCCAACTTCAGCCCTCTCATCACTCAGCGTAAACAAGTTACATGAGCTGAAGGGGAGGAGATCACAGAACGACCTGGCATTCGTGCAGACACTAATGCATGCATGCAACTGGGCTACTGGGCAGAGATGGGCCTGGCCTTCAGGTCATAAAGGCAGGAAATAAATCTTTTCAACGCTGCTGTGGTTTCTATCTCGACAGGAAAACCTGCTGTTGTTTTTTTTAAATCATGGGTCTCTGCTCTGGTGGTACTTGTGGGAAAGAACCCGCCTGCCATTGCAGGAGACCTAAGAGACATGGGTTCGATACCTGGGTTGGAAGATCCCCTGGGGGAGGGCATGACAACCCACTCCAGCATTTTTGCCTGGAGAATCCCATGGAGAGAGGAGCCTGGTGGGCTACAATCCACAAGGTCGCAAAGAGTTGGACACAACTGAAGTGACTTAGCACACGCACACGAGATTTGGGTCCGTTAGATAAGACAGGATGGGACAGTCTAGCTGAAAAAGACAGAAGCTTGGCTAGGAGCAGACTTGACTGAATACAGGGGGAAGAAGTCTTTGGCTATCAGACTGGCCTCCTTTGCCAGGGAAGCCTTGAGCCAGTTTCAGCTCTGGTTAGAGGTTATTACCTGGGCAGAAGAACCACAGGGACAACTCTGCTCTCTGCTCTGATCCCTCCTCAATCCTTACCTTGTTAAAGATGCTCAATATTTCCTTTCTACTCATATTCCCTTTTTAGAGAACATGCCCTTATCCCACCCCAACCCATAGCCTATAAAGGTCTCATTGCCACAACCCCGACTGGATATCTGACTCAAACTCACTTTCTGGGCCACAGCTAGTTACTGGGTTTGCCAAAAAACTTCATTCAGATTTTTTTATGGAAAACCCTAAGGAACTCTTTGGCCAACCCAATAAATTCTACTCTCCAAGAAATTTTATCTTGGAAATTCCCTGGCGGTCCAGGGGTTAGGACTCAACGCTTTCACTGCCAGGGCCTGGGTTCAATCCCTGGTCAGGAAACTAATATCCCTTAAGCCACATGCATGGCACAGCCAAAAAAAAAAAGGTTTTTTTTTGGGGTTCCCGTTTTTTGGTTGGGCGGTTGTTCTTGGGTTTTAGGCCGGTTGCCCTGGTTTTGGTTTTCATTTTGGTTCCCCTTTGGTTTTGCTTTGGGGGGCATTTCTTTTAACGACTCTATGGTTCAGTCTCCTCACCTATGAGATGGGTACTTTGATAGTAATACACTTTTAGGGGTCTTGCAAGAATTACTTTAGGGCTTGGACTGTGGCAAGCTCTCCATAGATATTAAATATTATTGTAGCTCAAGGTAAAGAATTCTCCTGATAATGCAGGAGATATGGGAGATGCAGGTTCGATCCCTGGGTTGGGAAGATCCCCTGTAGAAGGAAATGGTAACCCACTCCAGTATTCTTGCCAGGGAAATCCCATGGACAGAGGAGACTGGCAGGCTACAGTACCTGGAGTCACAAAGAGCCAGACACAACTTAGTGACTGAACAACAACAACCATTTCCATTACTACAGTAACACAAAGCCATGGGCAACCAGAAGTCATATCAGAGTAAAAATTAAGAAGATGAAATTGGTCTGCCAAGAGAAGCCAGGACAAGAAACCATGAGGCCCCAGAAGAAGGGAAGGATAAAAGGAGGTAGAAAGGATGTCTTTTCAGTTCCTTGACACCTACTCTGAGTTCACAATTAGATGCCTTGAAGTTTCCTCCATGTCATGACTATAAAGACCCTCTTTAAAAAAAAAAAAGACCCTCTTTCTTTTAAAAGACTATATTTATTTTATTTATTTGGCTGCACCAGGTCTTCATTGGCACACAGGATCTTTTGATATTCATTACCACATGCAAACTCTTAAATGAGGCATGTGGGATCTAGTTCCCCAACCAGGGATCAAACCCAGGCCCCCTGCATTGGGAGCATGGATGGAGTCTTAGCCCCTGGACCACCAGGGAAGTCCCCAGTGACCTTCTTTCTTAAATTAGCATGTGTGGTGGTTTCTGTTCCTGGCAAATAAGTAATCCCCATTTAAGTTTCTGGATTCTGCCACCACCCATGCCAGGTAGAGTCAGCTCTGTCACCAACCCCTCCTGTTAACTGGGGAAACCCACCTCCCCCCTAGGACGTGTGTGGGATCGGCAGCCCGTAAAGACTGGTGTCCTGTGAGTCCTCTTTCTCAGGGCCTGACCTCAGTATTCTCCTGGCATCAGTACTTCCATATTCCTTGACTCCCTAGATCAGGATCAAAA